CTGCGTGCCGGGCTGGAGATTGCTGCTCACTTGTTGCCCGGCACTTCCCCTCTGATGGAGTCTGAGATGCTGCAGTCGCCTCTTCTGGGGCTTGGGGAGGAGGATGAGTCTGACCTGACTGACTGGAACTTGCCTCTGGCCTTCATGAAGAAAAGGCATTGTGAGAAGATCGAAGGCTCCAAGTCTTTGGCTCAGAGCTGGAGGATGAAGGACCGGGTAATGCTCAAGGACCGGATGGGTTTTGGAGGAGGAGTTGGGGGGACAGGTGGTGAAAAGGGAGGATTAAGTGCTGAGAGAGCCGCTGTACTTCAAGCAGCGGTCTGTTTCCAGATGAAACGCTGGGTATTTGATCCGACAGTCTAACTTGCCTTTGGTTTGCGTGCCGGTCATATGGTGTTAGGGGAAGCAAACATGCGGATGGGTCAAAAGTACTAATTCCAAGCTTGTGGTAATACACTCTTTGAGTAACTTCCTCATTTAAGCTCTTAAAATGAAATTTGGGTACTTGGTGTGTTTCGGGAAAGGCAGTAAAATTAATGAGGTCTTAAAGAGCTCTCTGGATCAGCAGGTTAATGATGCAAGCACAAGGTGCAATAAATGTAGTCATTAGAGTTGTCTAGTGGTGAAGATGCAGGGAAGCTTTGTGGTTTTGAAGTTTGCCACCAGCGTGTTATGTGGAATATAACACTAATGCATTCTTTGTGTGTGAGGAAACTGAGATTATGTGATTTTGGAGGCAGAAAATAGTTATTAGATGAAGCACTCTACTGTATTAAAGCAAGGTGCTTCTATTTTGTTTGACTATGTTGCATGTTAAACTGATAAAGCCAAGCGTGTCAAAGAAAGATCCCTGCTAGGGTGTCTTGAATCCTGTGTTGCGTCTATGTCCCAACTTAAATGCTTAAGTTAAAAGCAAACAAACACAGCACCTGAGAAATGCCACGGATAATCAGCTCCCTTCATTCTGTTCTTGGAATCTGCTTTGGCTTACAGGATTCCTTAGGTCTCAAAGTTGTTTTTCCCATAACTTCGTGTTTATGAATACGTATGAGGTTTTTTGGGTGACCGAATTCCTGTTACGTCTACGATCCCTCTTGTAATACTGTGGAACAACTTGGGAACTGCTGTTGAAACTCCATCCTGTAATTTCTTTCCAGAGGCATTGTGACCGGGCACGAGGGTGCTAAACATGAGTCTCAATGTTCCTAGCGGGGTGTTCACCTACATGGTTGTAGTTCTGGGAAGCTCTGAACCAGAGTCATTTGACTGAGTAGAGTCGTGTACTGAAAATTTGACTTGGCAGATCGTTAATGGATTGAATGGAGTTTTTTTTGGATGGAATTTAAATGAGCCACAGAACACAAAGTTTTGTGGTATGTCTTCTTTAAAGGGTTTTGGCAAAGAAGAGATTTTTCTCTAGTAGACTGTGGAGGTGTGATGAGCTTGCTTGTCTATTTTAGTGATCCCTCTGCCTTCCTGCGAAGCTTCCTGTTCACTTATTTCCTGATCTGCAAAGTTGTCTTTTTCTAAATTGGGAATGACATTGACTTGATCAATAGGTTGGACAGCGTGTGTGAGTAAAGTGGTAGTAATCAGTTGTCTTCTCCGTATTTGTCATTAAACGTTTCACATGGATGTTACAGCCAAAGAGAATCATGTCAATGAAGCCGAGAGCAGTGGTTATGGTGATCGTCACAGCCCAGTTCCTACTGTCCTTGCTCCTATGGAGCTGCAGTTTCTTCTTCTAAGAGTCCTCTGTGCTGTGAATGGTGTGCTTTTCACGAAATAGTGTGCTACTCGCTGTGAAGGAGCTTAGCGAAATCAGGCCCTGAATCCTTCTCCAAGATACCAAGTCTTATTTTTGTAAATGAAGAAAATAAGAGCAAGTCTGAAATTTTCTGTTTAGTCCTTCTGTTTTCACTGTCAGCTTGAATCAAATAACTTTTCTGTATATCATGATCAGTGATGCTGCTCATATGTCATTTGCATCTTGACAGCTTTATCGGGTATTGTTTGGACAAACTTGCCGTTGTGTATAATTACTTTTTGCTTAAGAACAGGTTCATAGGAACATATAAAAAGCTCATAAAGACATCTGAGAGAGGAAGAGAAGCTGACTTGAGAATGCTCGATCTCAATACTTTTGAATCTTAACAGTTATTTTTACATCTTTTTTATTTTATTCAACTTTTTAGCTATCATGGGATGTCTCCTTAGCATTTGATGTGATATAACAAACTTACCAGACCTTCAAACGGTGAAAGAATGGGTCTGAAGATGGAGTGTTCATAATTCTGTATGGAAAATGATATTTGTTAAGTATTTTCCCCCAGCTAACTCAAGTTAGGTTAATCCTGTGAAAGAGTTCATAAAGTCATATAATCTGGTTGACCTTGTCTTACATGAACAGAAGGTAGAAGACTAGCTTGCTAGTTCATGCTGCTGTTATTTTCACGTAGACCGACTGAAAATGGCAGTTTGAGTGTAGCGGGTTTGTACATCAAACCAAGCACCTTAACAAAAATCCAGAAACTTGAGCTTTGTGGGGGTTTTATTATGAAGCATTCTGGAATAATAGCGTGAGGGAAGATGTGCAGTAATCTGTCAGCCTTTACTGCCAGGAAGTATACTGACCTTTTGTTGATTTTTTTTTTTTTTTTAAATTTCTCTTTTTTCCTTTTTCTGATTTCACTTAACTGCTTTGTTATATGCTCTCTGGCATTATAAATTAATTATTCCTCTCATCTTGTTGTTTTAGCTGTCTTCAGAAACTTTCCTTTCTTTCTTTTCTTCATGCTTTAGAGCATTATTCCCCAGTGATCAGAGTTTTATGTTGCAGCCGTGCTTGTTTCGGTCAGCATTTGAGGCCTCTGATGTCTGTCTATAGCTGCTAATCAAATTAAAAGCGACCCGTAGTCACCGCACGTAGAATGCGGTCCTGTTGCATTCCCCAATTTACTTTACCTTCCTTTTCTTCCACAAGCCAGCTCTGATTGAGTTCAGATGTGCTCTTATCTTTGAGATGCTACTGAAAGAGATTTTTCTTGAGGGCTGGAGTGGACATACCTCTTGGCGTGAGTTGAGAGTGTGGAAAGCATTCCATTAGTTTGAATTTGATAAGTTAACTTGTCAAAGCTTAGGATGGGGACCATTATCTGTATTTAAACACATCAGCCTATCTCTAAATCAAGAAATTCTCAAAGGTTAACCAAAGCAAGTCTCTATTTGCCTGAGTCGCAGGTAAATCTGTGGCATTTTTTCCCCATGAATCATGAAAAACCCCAGGCAGTGGCGGATTTTGCCCTTATTCATCGTCTTTAGTAGTCCTAGGGAGTGATCCTAGCTTTACTGTAGTTATAGGAAATGATTCACTAAGATTTGGGAATGGAGTGACTCTTCTTTCATCTTGCTTCACTGCTCTGAAAACCCCAGAGTTCATATGAACTTGAAGGTTCTTTAGAAGGCAGGACTCTAAGAGGGAAGAATCAAATAAGAAAAGTAATGAGTGGTAAATCTATTCCCCCCCCCCCCCCCCCCCCATCCAGAAGGACTGCTCTGAAAACATTTAATCCTTCATCTCCTGCTTTCGTGGACTATATATGCCATCAAAGTGACACTGCTTTGATGTATTATTTATTTAAAGAATATTTTTAACACAAGAGGGTTGGAATTATGCTTTGTGTATTGAATTAAATCTTACAGCCTCAGTAGCAACCAAATCATGAAACTTGGTTTAAATAAAAAAGATTTTACTGACATGTTGCTACTAAATTCAGAATATTTAAATTAAGATTGCTGTACTTATATTGATTTCTAAAATAAGCAGAGAGCAACAAAGCTGGTTGTAATAGTTTAACATTTTTTTTTTCCTGCTGCCTCATAACTTGCTGAGTGAGAATTAAATCCTGTTTTTATGAGAAAAGGAATACACAATTAGGTTTCTATGGAAATGCAGATTAGAGCAGGGCCGCATACAAATGCGCTTAATTCAGAGAAGCAGAGCTTACCTGCCTGCATGGTAAATGTTTCATGTGTCAAAGGAAATTAATGAAGGATAGTAGCGTTGGAAGTTTGTGCGCATCGCTGCAGCTTGAAATAGTTGTTTCAGTCTAAGGAAGCTTTCCAGGCCCTCCTGTAATGGACGTGGCTT